CTTCCCCCCTAAACCAAGTAATATTATAGTAGATACTAATGAAGTTCTACAATATATATAAACTTGAGAAAAGGGAGGAGGTACTGTGGTGTTTTGGTTTAATTAATATCCTTATTTTCAAAGTTAAATGCAATGGATCCATAATGCAGTTATATCCTCTTATTATTTTATTAGGTATAATGAAACTAGTCAATAGTGTGAGAATAGCATGACTCATTAGCTTGAACATGAATGTTTACTAAGTCTGTGGAACAAATGTCTTCTTTTCATCCCCCACTTTCCATTTAAGTTACAGACATCAATTTCAAAAAGTCCTTATTCATGGTTCCTGGTTTACAAAGTTACTCTGTTGTTTATATAATATTCAAAGCAAATTAAAATTTAGCGGGCTTAGTGGAGGAGGCAAGAGGAAGGGAGGAAATCCCCAGTATGTAAGAAGATACTCAAATAGTCCATGATATAATTAGTGGCAAAGAGGAACTTGTACAGCCAATATATTTTACACTATAAAGCTATGGGTCCTTGGTTAAATCCACAATAAGCATATGAGAGGTTTTATAAGTGGTTGTCCCTTAATAAGTACTGTTTCCGATTATAATGTACATCTGTCTCCCTATGTAGGATAGTAAGGTACAAGGATTCTAATGTAAGCTGATAAGGTTTACAAATAGTCTCAACTTACAAGCATTCATTTAGCAACCATTCGAAATGACAATAGGACTGAAAAAAGTGACTTACAGTTAAGACCATCAACCCATGATCAAACTTTGTAACATGGGGTCATGTGAACACCATTTGCAACCCAGCCAGTAAAGTCAATGGAGGAAGCAGGATTCATTTGATGACTGCGTGATTAACTTAACAACTGAATTTTGATCATATGACTGTGGGAATGCTGCAACGGTTGTAAGTGTGGGAAATGGTCATAAGTCTGTTGTTTTTTTTGGTGCTTCAGTGTAACTTTGAAAAATCACTGAATGGATGGTTATAAGCTGAGGACAACCTGTACAAGCCTTGCTGTAAATATATTGCTCTCAAAATGTGGCTTTCATGGCACATGTATTCCTGCCAACTCCCCTGCAAACCCCACCCAAAATGCCATGTGCTGTTCACACTTATCTGGCCAATGGCATGAAGGTTTTCCCCCTTTAGTGAAATCAGGACACAACATCGTAACTTCAAACAGTCACTAAATGATGGTCATTAAGCAAGAACTAGAACGCACAGTTTCTAGACCACTAGACCAAACTGGCTTTATGGTGTGTGTTTTTCAAAGTGAATTTATTGTAATTTAGGTATGTGATATGAATTATAACTAAATTGAATCCTATATTGCTACTTCTAAATATTTTCACAAAAACAGAGTAAATTATTCTTTATGAATATTATTCATATTTTAAGGACTTCCTTCTACAACAGTAAGTGTCAACTCACTGCTGAAATATGTTATTCTAAATACAGAAGAGGGAGAATATGCAGTTCATAGTAATGCAGCAAACAGGCAAACAATAAGTATAATTGCCTTTTGAATCACAGTATTTTATACCAGGTATTGTTTTAAACTATGCATTTTTTCAATGCATGTATTCTTAATATAATCCAACTCCTTTTCTTTCAGGTTATTGGAGTTATTAGCAAAGATATTATCCCCAAAGGAACACGCTTTGGACCATTGGTTGGTGAGATCTATACCAGTGACACCGTTCCTAAGGATGCAAATAGAAAATATTTCTGGAGGGTAAGCAAGGAAAAATCACTTTATATAAAAGTATTACACAATATTAAAGGTGTTATCAGTGAAACAATATTGTCATTATTTGAACTGCATGAGCTAAATTGATGAATTAGCAATATAGTCCTATTTAGTAATCATATGACTATGGTCCCATTCTTAGGAGAATAGAACAGCCAATAGTAATCCTTTTGCATCTTGATTACTCTGACAACCAACTTTTAGGAGGAAAGACTAAAATTGGGATATATATTATAGAGCAGTTTCTTTCAGACATCCTCCTCTAAAACATGATGGTTACTATCAAAATCAGGAGATTAATCTCACAAATGTGATGTTATTCTTTCTGCTCACAGGATGGAGGGAATTTAAGACAAATACTTAAATTAGTGCTTATAGTAATTGAGTTACTACAGTGTTAACTAACCAAAATGAAGACAACATATCTTTTTGACTAGTCATTCTACAATGCATGTACATGAAACTTAAAAAAAACCTAGGTTGTTGATATTATGAGAATTTTTGCTAATTGATAATTTTTTGCTGAGCTAGATGTCTTATGCTAGATGCACCATGATAAAACTTAGGCAAGATGACATCTCACAGCTTCAATTCCTCATTTGAGAAATGAAAGTGATTCTTCCCATACAATTGCTGTAAGACAGGGGTCTTCAAACTTGGCCCTTTTATGACTTGTGGACTTCAACTCCCAGAATTCCTCAGCCAGCGTGCCATAAGTCCATAAGTCATAAAAGGGCCAAGTTTGAAGACCCCTGGGTTAAGATATGATTGAAATTGTGGAAGGAAAAAAAAGTCAATGATACAATGTATCATGCCCTAGTAATCAAGTCTTCTTCCTTCCAAATCTCATAATTTATGACAAATTTAGTTCATCTTATCTCATCCAGTATTTCTACTTCAGAAATGGGTGCAAGAAGTTTATTTAGCTTAAATTATTGGAATGTGATAAGAAGTGGGTATGCCATAGTGGCTGCTTGCTTCATTGTAATACTGCATTACAAAAACAGAACAACAGAGATGGAAGCTCTTGCAATTTACAAAGCTTGCAATGTAAGGCCATGTCTTCTTTGCTTCCCTATGTAAGTTATCCATTTGGAAGACAGAGTAGAAACATCTCTTTTGGCAATTTGTTCTCATTCACTTTTAGTTGTTCAATAAGGCAAATGTGTCGTCAGCCTAGATACTTGAATCTTTATAATTTTTCAAATTTTCATCATGGGAAAAAAATAAGCACGCTTCTCTTCAGATTAATTGTTAGGAAAGAGAACAGCCTGGGCCATCTCGATGTATCAGACTACAATTTCTTTCATCCACTTTGGCTAGTAACAATGGGGACTTTAGTCTGACACATCTGCAGGGAAACAGATTAGGAAAGTCTGCAGTTGAGCCCTGCAATTATTCAACCACTCTTGGAAAAGGATTCTGACTACTTAACAGGATGTGACACAACTAACATCACACACGTTACACACATTACAGTACTTGCATTTTGAAAAATCTTGGTAAGTACTGGGGTTGAATCTTCTGATTCATGGTGCCTGGGATTCTTAGAAAAGGTTCTTACCTCAGTGCCTGAAAACAGCCGTGTAGATGCAAAGGAAACTGGAAGATAATTTCCAGCTTGTCATGTAAAAAGACATGTCTGGCAGGAACAGAAATATCTCATTTGGGTTCCATAAAGTTTATATCATTTAGAAAGAAAAAGAATATGTTGTGCAAGTGTCAAGGTGATGTCATTTCTTGTAATTGTAGCAGTATGACTCAGCACATTTTAAGCTTGTTTGATCCATGACGATTAGATGAGGCAGCAGAATAAAGTTTTACAGCAGTCTCGCTGTGCAGAATGTGTGTAGTGATGAAGCATACAATAAATTATGTTAGCTTTGGAATGTGACTGGGAGATCTTTCCTTTAAATTTGAAAAGTGGGGTCTTCCCTGTAATGGCAGTGATACCACTGGAACTGCTGAGTTCCTGGAAGTTTGCAAATCGGAGATAATAATTTTTTTTTCTTTTTAAGAGCATAATTCTTGAGTCTTTGTTCCATCTTTCTCATAACAAAAACACCGCAAAATCTCTCAGGCTTCTTTGATGAGGTCACATGTATTTCCTCGGCCTCAAATGACAGGAAGTAAGAAAGTGATTCTGGTGTTTACTGTTTGTGTTAAAAGCCCAGCTTTGTTGCTGCTACTTCATTTTTTTTAATGACTTCTCAGTATATTCTTACATCAAACAGCATTCAAACAAAAATGCCTGTAAAAAAAGCACAGGAGGAACTGGAGCGGTTTTTACATTTTGACACGAGCAACCTAAACTCAAATCCTTTCTTAGCCATGACATTTCAACTGAGTGTCCTTCTGGAAATCACCTGATTAATTTACCTCAGGTCTAACAGTTGAGATAAAAATGAAACTAGGAGTATATATTTGCCATTTGCCCAAAACCCATGGGAGTAAGACAAAAAAGAATGAAGTATTTCTCAATGGAAATATATAAAAACCTTTTTGGTTCCAGTTAATAACCTTTTTCCCCTCAGTGGTAACTTTCAAATAATTACTCCAGAGAGCAACAGTTGTTCAGTGTATGACTTAAGTTTCAGCAGGAGCTTTCTTTGCTCATTTTCATAATCTCAGAGGCACTTTGAAAAGAAGCATGCCTGAAATCCCATTATTTGACCTGTCACCTGCTGTAGAATTATATTTTCCTAAACATTCTTATTTAGAAAAGAAAGCAATCCACTTACAATTAGATCAAACTTGCCTCCAGATTTCTATTTGTTTATTGATTGATTGATTGATTGATAATTTAATTTGTATACCGCCCTACTCCCGTAGGACTCAGGGCGGTTCACAGCATATTAAAAACAAATAATATACACAAAATACAAAATACAAAAAATAAAATACAGAAATACAAAAAATACAAAAATAAACCCTGATAAAAACCGAATTAAAACCAAATATTACCCGCTGTGATTCCAATTAAAATACTTTTACAATATCCCTACCTAAAATCCTCCCTAGGTCAGGCCCGCTTGCTGAAAAAACCATGTCTTGAGGGCGCGGCGGAAAGTAAGGAGATCCGGAATCATCCGGATCTCGGGGGGTAGTTCATTCCAGAGGGTGGGGGCACCCA